TGCACTTGCATTTGCCATTGGGATCTTTGTAACCACTGAACAAGCTGCTTGCCTGATGTCTGTAGAGCTCAGGTGCTTTAATGGAGCTTTGGCACTTTTACCTAATAGCTGATTGAATCAGCTTTAGCTAAAAGTGCAAAAAAGCTCTGCTAAAGGGCTCAATCTATATAGATACTGCAAACCTGAGTTGAAGTAACATGCTGCAGCTCCTGGCAAATGTGGTTTTTTTGTTTTTAATGTCTGCAAGCAGCCAAGAGAGCTTAACTAATCACCTGTAACTTGCATAACAGTGCAGAGTTAGAGGAGATGTGATTTCATGCCCACTCTAATTTCATGTCCAATTTAATTTTTTAAATAAAAAAACCAACATTAATTCCTAATGTGCCTGGGATGACACATGGGCACCTGGAACTGGAACCAGCTAGCCCACCACTCCAAGAACACACATCTCTGCTGGCTCCTGCCTTCAGCCTCCTGGTCTGAGGGTGTAGGAGAATGGTGCAGTCCTTACATTCCCCAATTATCTTAGGATCAGGAAGCCATCCTCTCATTTGAGGAGAACTGTCTCAAAGCTGCCCTGTCCCTCGAGTGGAGCACAAATCTGTCCTCAAGGTCAGAAAATTATTCCTTCTCCCTTCCCAACAGGGTGGCGCACTCCCCTAGCTAATATACACTGAGACAGATCTAGGCCCAGCATTTGGAAAGGGGCACAATGCTACAGATGGCAGGGGGCTGAGAAGTGGCAGTGAGTTGCTGGATAGCCTCATTCCGCTAGAAAGTAGTGTTAATACCCAAGCAAAAGGAAACCTCAGTGGCAGCCAACCTTAGCAATGGTGTGACTGGAGGGAAAAGTTGGCGGGGCAGCAGCAGGAGTAGCGAGGAGCGTGCAACGCCCATTACAGTTGGGTGGAGCAGGGATGGTGTCTGTAAGGTAGCTGCGTGCCAGGAAGACAGAGGAACTGTGAAGGCCGGTGGACAAGGATCTTCAGGAACTCCTGAATAGTCCCCAGAGTCTGGGCCTTCATCAAACTTCTCTACTGCATAATCTATTCCCTCCTCTGTCGTTCTCTACAATCTCAAGCCCTAGGCCTTTCCCATCCTCTGCTCACTCAGCTCCAGATATATTTGCTTGCTCTTAGTCAACCTCTGCAGGTACATAGGGGCAGGCTTATTCTGCAGTTCAGAACTGAAGAGTCCACTTACCAGTTTTAATGCTACTTCCAGCATCCCTTCTGTCCTCTGGAAAGGGCATGTCAAGGTCTTCATCTGAAGTGGAGGAAATAAAACAAAAGGGGTTTGTTACTGAGGATTTAATATGAAGAAATGTATCCCTTATGAGACACAGACAGGATGGTAGGTTCCTCAGTCTACCACCTCTTCAGAGATTTTACTATTTTCCTGACTCCAGGCCCACTGAACTCAGTGCTAACCTCACCCACTGTCTTTGCTGGCAGCAGAAAACCCAGCCCTTAGGACTTGAGTGGGCACCCATCACCCTAGTATCTAAACATTCAGAGCACAGTGGACATAAGCCCATGCCACAGACCCAAGAAAAAAGAACACAACATAAAGTCCCAGTGCAAGTAGACTATAGGAGGAGTTAACACTAGCTTTTATACAGAGCTGTTCATCAACAGAGATAGCAAAGTGTTTTACAAAGGAGGTCAGTATCATTACCCCCACCTCATAGATGGGGAAATTGAGACAGCAAGAGGCTAAGTGATTTGCCCAAGATCACAGAGTAAGTACATCAGTGGCATAGCTGGGAATAGATCCCATGTGTCACAGGTCTCAATCCAACACTCTACACCTACTAGGTTACACTGTCTTCCAATTAATCCTTCAAGGGGACAGACTCATTATGTAAAAGAAGCAGAGGCACTATGGTGATGGGCAGCAGCACCAAACCTGTAAGCAGGCAGGCAAACAGATGATTTTGGCTGAGAGAGCATCTGACTGTCAAAATAATAAATTCTGCGTTTAGACTGTGCTGAGAGGAGACGGAAGTCACTAGCTTCTAGGGACTGGTAATATTTTAAGACGTTGCAGAAACCTATGAATTGTTATTAACACTAGTGAAAACAATCACTTATTAGCATCATAAATTTACATGGCACTTTATAAAGCTTCATACAGGAAGCCGTATTTCCTGAGCTGAAGAGCTTATGGTCTGCAAGAAACAAGACACCAAGCAATATTCCAGGAAAGATAGGAAGTGAAAAGGATTCTTGAAAGCAGCAGAATTTAAGAAGGATTTGAAGGAAGAGAGAAAGGGCATCCGGCAGCAAAAAGAAAAAGATGCTGATCCAAGCCTGAGAAAATGGATGGTAGAAGAGGCAAAAATTATGGGACTTTTGACACTAACTTCAGTGGAAGAAAGTTTGAGCCACAGGAAAGGAGTGACATGAGAGGTAGCAAATAGAAGGGTGCAAGTGAGATGAGACTATTTGTGAACACAAAGAGAATGAATTCAGTGCGACAAGACCTGATCTGTACACAACTGCTGCACTGATTTAACTGGCTTTAAATAGAGGCTGCTTAACCTTGAACAAAACACCATCAGAGATGTTTTGGAACTGTTTTCCAACAGGATTGTGTGGACTTGAATTAAATCAGCATGTCAGCATCAGCACCCAGCTGCCACCTGGTGCAAAATCTTTGTACTAAGGGACTCATTCCAGTTCAGAGGCTCTGACAGTAGTCACATCCATGTAGATCTCAGCTAGGTTCCAGAAAGGGCCGGCCCATGCTGAAGGGTTTTGGCTGAATTGCAGCTGAATGTGGGTCCACTGCATGTGTGGATGAGGCCAAACAGCAGGGCTGGATTTCTCCCCAGCACAGCCCATCAACCCTGAACAGAGGACCTGGTCTATTTAGCCCACGGGTGGGAAGTCAGACAGCTGCCTCCCTGACTAGTTGAAGCAAGTCTGTAGATTCGGAAATGGATTGCTGTAAAGGTTAGCCCAGGGTCATTTGGCAGGTTTTCTTTGCAACCAGGGTGGCTAGAAATGGAATTTTTGAAAAATGAAAACGAATCACAATGCTTCTCAAAGACAGGTATAGTATACATCTATAGCACCTAGACCTTAAAGCTACCATGACCAGGATCATTCAACTCCACCAACTGCCAACAACTATTGACAACCATGGGTTGTTTTTGCAGCATAGGCAAGCCCTGTGCAGAAGTCAGAGGCACCTTCCCAGAAGGCCAGTCTGCAGGTCTGAATGGATCTGGTTTTGCAGTCATCTTAGGATAGATCCATAGGTAAACCCCAGATTCATGATGCTCCACAGTGGGCAGGGCCATTAGTCCGCACCAGTCCTTTTGCTGATACCATGCAACTTGATCACTAGGCAGGAGATAATCTGCTGCGCTTAAGCACTTTCTAAAGACAGAGCTCTCCCTGCTGCCCCACCCTCCACAACCCTGGACCCAGCTGTCTCTTCCACCGGATTCTAATCAATGCAAATCAGGTCAGCCCTCCGCTGTGAATTACAAATTGGATCCAAAGTTGGAGGGTCACTGCAACTGCTCCCCCATTAGACGGGAAGCGGCACCAAAGATCTTTTCTAAATAAATCAGACTTTATTGTAAAACTCGGCCACTGACGAGACATAAGCTCATTAGCATTGATTTTAAAATAAATTATTGAAAGTGGCTTTTGCCTGCTCTTTGCATTTGTAAAAGAGAATGTAAATGTATCTGCAACAATGATAAAAAACCTCACTATCGAGGCCATCAAAACTAGATTCCTTTATCCTTTCAGACAACGACACTTAATCTGGCCTTGGCATGAAAGGGAGGCAAATCTGACAGGTTCTCCTAGTGTAGTTCAGTTCCAGAACAGAATCTGTTTGTCATTGTACCTTTGGAGATATCTCCAGGGCAGAGCCAGGCTTATACACTAAATGCCAGGACTACAAATACAGAGCCCATCAACCACTGCCAGCTGGACTTGATAAAGAAATTATTGGTAGAAAGTTCTCCCCAGCCAGAGAGTCAGAGTAGTAGAAAAGTGCTGAAACTGCTTCATGGCTAATGCTCCATGCACTCAATAGAAGGGAAAGGATGCCCACTGATTAGGGGACTGATCTCAGTCTTGGGAGACCAGGGGTCAAGTCCCTGCTCTGCCACAGACTCACCGGTGACTCTGGGAAAGTCACATGGTATAACTCCTCACCCCCTCCCTCCACCCGCAACCGAGCTAGGGAGTATAAAAAAAAGACTGAGGAGCTCAGATAGTAGGATGCTGGAAGCCATATAGGTCCCGTCAATAGATGAGTTTTCTAATGCCAAAGTGGACACTTCTATTCCACCACCAACACAAAGCTTCAAGATTCTCAGATGATAGAAGCAAGGCAGAAAAACAAGGGAGACAGGGAAGCAAAATCTCATTGATTTGGACACAATTGATTTCTTGCTTTATTTTTGACCTAATTCCCAGCCCTGAAGACCATTTCCAGCCTATACATTCCTTGATAAGACCATTCTAATACCAGAAACCAGCACCCAAGATATTGTACTGGGACCTGGGATGATAGCTCTGTTCTTCTGGACCTGCAGAGGCGATTCATTATGGGGAAACTTTCCCAGGAGCCTCTGGAGCTCACAATCCCAAAACAGAAACCAAATGATGCATATGATTCCTTTTGGAACTAAATGGCAAAGCTGCTGACTTAGCTTTCCCCCAAGAGGTGACAGGTGCTCACACAATAAATGATTCTAGCTGCTTCCTGGAAATATGGAATTGGGTATTGCTCCTTGTACTCTTAGAAAGAGATGCTCAGATTCTGTGGTGTACATGCAACTATCTAGGTACGGGAGAGACACGGTAGGATAACCCAGGCATATATGTTCTACAACTCAGTTTCCCCAGCAACAGTGGGGATATACCCATCTACCTCAGAGATAAGTTGCTTAATTCCCAAGAAGCTGGATGTGACACTCAGATATAAATTATTGGAGAATGTCATTAGACAACAGACCTTGTTTTACCCGAACACTGTGGGACCATCCCCTGTTCATATATGTGGAATGGTCATACATAGGAGGTATCTATCTAATAAAACAGCACCAAAAAAGAAAGAGGAACATAAGACCAAAAACTACATGTAACCTGTATGTGTATATATGTGCCTGCATATACATGCACAGGTATTCATTTTTTTTGCATTTCTTGTGACCAGGCTGGGCTGCTCATACTAACATGGTTCAGATAAGTGAGGTTCTTTTGGAACTAGAAAGTAGCCACAGCTAACATGTGTCATCTGGAAGTTACAGGGAGGTCTGTCAAGAATCAGAGAGGATCCTAGTTTCAATCTATACAGCCAGTGAGAAAATACAGTAACTAGCAACTGGAAAGGGACAAAGTACACTAAAGTACCATGTACAAGTGAAGCCTAATCCTTGGTGATGAACAAACTCAGGAATTCAGCAAGATGGGTCCATTCCAAACCGTCTCTTTCCCCCAGTTGTATCCTGCTCTACTTGCAACAAAAGCATTCACACCTTTGGGCCCTGGGATGGCTGGCTTACTGTCTCCAACACAAACATCCTCTCTTCCAACTCTTCCATCTGAAACGTGATCTCTCTTTCCATCCCCCTGTTGTGAAAAAAAATTCCCATTCTACAACTGTAGCCAAGTGAAAGAACCCAGTTGCAACAGTTAAATGATGCAGCTGCCCTCACAGAGATACAACTGACAAACCAAAGCTCTGCTGGTACAAACAAGGAACTCAGGAAAGCAACCCACCCTGAAAACAGCCCCTCTGCAGAGACCCACAGTGCTAAATGGAAGAAAACTTTCTAAAGAGAACTTTAAAAAAGAGTCTCAGCCACTTCAGCTGTAAAACTGGAGAGACCTTGCCAGGGGCAGGTTCTAAAAGTAGCCCAGAGGGATGGCTGGCTGCATGAGCAGAGCAGGGTAATTAACAGTAAGGTTTCTTGATTAAGAATGGGACTCTACTGTCACTTTAAAAAGTCACGGAAGGCCACAATCTGGAGCTGAATATAAAAGTAGGATGAAGTAGTCAGTAAGGCATTTGCAACCCATTCCCTGTGGCAGAGGATATGAGCAAACGGCTGATTCCAGAGACTAAAAATCAAACACCCTACCAGCATCAGAAAAACAATTCTGCATGCTGCAGATCTGAGGTTGCCACATATCAAGTAGCTGAGAACACCCATTACTGAATCATTTGAGGGCTTTGCAAGCTTTGGTGAATTAAAACTCATGAAGCATTTGGTGCATTTAAACTCATGATAT